CATAGGACTCATAACATAAATGAATGAATGATTGAAAATCATGAATTGTGATTGTTACATTGTACAGTGGCATTAAGTATATGCCATAATGTGCACCTCTGTCTAACGCTTTGGGGAAAAAAGGTGTGAAGTTATGTAAAAAAGGCAATAAAGAATCAAAACCATGGTAGTTAGGTATGTTATGTCATAAACAAAACAGATTTAGATATCATAATGAGCAATCAAATCATACTTAAAGGGTCTGGACCCAAATTGCTTACGTCGCTGATGTATCAATTTAAGGTACAAGGTACATAGTTACATATTACAAAAATTAAATAACTATAAGTAAAAATTATTGTGTAATAATCACCTAGTAGTAATAATACACTTCATTGCAATAGAAAATGTAAAAATAATACAAAACGGTACTAAATTCATTAGAAAACTTCCTCAGACATATTTATTGTAAGAATATAAAATAATTGTTTAAAAATGCAAATAAAACCTGCTGATTCTCAAGGTTGCTGTTTAATAAACAAAAATTTGAATATCTAAAAAAAGAAATATCGTTTCAATCAAATCTAAAGCAGACAGAGTATCATAAAAATCTTGTAATAAAACAATTAATATGTATTCAATACAGAATAAAATTGTCGGCATTTTAATCGGACATTTTGTTATCACTACCTGGCAACACTGTTTAATTACTCGTTATAATCATGTTTATCATAATTATGTAGATGTGTTATCAACACGTCAGAACAGACTCTCACAGTGACTTGTAATGTTTGTGGTCTTTGTCCCGAACTGTTCAAGCTATTTCTTGAATGAAATGGACGCTTAGACATCTCTGCTACAGCGAATTACATCAGGAATTAATGATATGGGAACTTTATATGGAACATGAATTAGGCATAATTCAAAAATCTAATCTGTAGAGATGTTTCTGGAAAGTAGTAATGTCGATGTCGGTCAGTTTTTAAGTGTATGATTTAAAAATTCTTTAATACAAAACAGTCCCGAAACCTCCGACCGATTGTATTGAAGTTTCAATAATTTTATGTTGTTTCTTGATAAAAAAGGTAGTGAGATCAACTTAAAAGAGCAGTTTTACGATAAAGATCCAACGCTCATTCTCCCAAGTAGGTACTCGTCAATGCGAAGTAATAAAGGCAAAAAAAAATCATATAAAAAAACTCCTTTTTTGAAGTCGACACAACTTTAAACTGTCAAACACCAAGCGGTCACCGGTGACCGCAACCTATTGTTCTACCTCTATAATTGTATCTACATATAATGACGGTACTCAACGAGTTATATAAAAACAGCTTAATTAATACAGTAAAAGAGGAGTTGTAAAAGACTTTTACTATGTTTATTAAAGTGTTTATCGTTATCACAACAATTTCTGCCTGCAACTGTAACGCACCTGTGTGATCTAAATTATCAACTAGGCCGTAAAAACATAAGTTATCGTAATAACCTTTGCTATCACATTTGTGCCGCCGAAAACTGTACCAATTTACCCCTTCAAAATTATTTTTATATAAACACTATTGCTTATGAGTAGATATCAAGAATATAAATAAGTTGTAGGTAATGCTCACTAACCAAATTATGAGTCAAAGTCAAACCAATTCAATTAATCATTAATTAGGCATTTTTGAACGTCAAAAATTTAATTGTCGCGCCATCTTGTTTGCTATTGAAGCAAGGCGCTCGTTCCAAAGTGTAGTTTCGAACGGAGAAGAACAAGTACGAAACTCCTCTTTTAAAAAAATGTTTTTACCGTCTCATTTTGTACAATATCTGATCCTTTACTAAATGTATAGTACATGTGAGAACGATGTAACGACAATACTACGTAATGATAAGTAATGAGACTACGGAATCTACTCTTAAAATAAAAATAACTAAGAATGATTGTTTCAAACATGGTGCCCACATATGTTCAATTATAATTTCAAATAATACGCATAACTCTTCCAAATAAAAATGTAAATACAAATACTGGCTCGACGTGCAGGAGAAGGAACAGGATGGTTTTTAGTCAGTAAGAGTCTAACACTCCCTCCCGCCTCACCCAGACGGGAGCATTCATTCGAAGATTTTCCCCCCTTAAAAAAAATGTTCATTACTGTACCTACCTATGTATGTGTGTGTAGCTACCTACTTATCACTTATTCTCTTCTCCAATATAGGTACATTAAGATTTATCGAATATCTGGCTACTATACATAGTACTCATTTTATCTAAATGTTACCAACCGTCGTTTACCGAAAATCCAAAAAATATCTCTTTCCTTCTGAAATCTTGAAAATTTCTAAGATACTTAACGAGTGCCACTTCGTCAGTATTGTCTAATAATTTAGAGTTCCGAGTTGTATGTACTTAGAAAGTACATACAACTCGGAAAAAATCACATTCGTACTTGCCTTTGCTAGGTTTCTAACCCATACTCTTATGCATGAAAAGCCGATGTTTCAAACCTCCGGGTCACCACGACATTTTTACTACCCAAAATAATTTATACATATTTATAGTTTTTAGGTAGCATATATTTGAATCATGTGATCTTATAAAAATAACTTGATACAGACTCTGACATTATAAACTAAAAATATAAATGTTTTTATATCTATCATAATAATAGCACTAATAATATGTTCAGTTATAATGCTGCCACAAATTGTCCTCTATAAGAAGTTTATCTACTATTATATATTAGATAGCAGCACCTTATTCTATATATTATACTTAACACTGAAATTCGATGAACAGTAGCTTGGCATAATATTTCTGAATTTAATAAGTATAACATATACTTTACAAAATAAATAATAAGGCTATTTTCTATACCTTGGTACCAAGAGAAAGAGAAGATGTCATTAGCTAAAAATAACACTGTCGATTTACGTATCTAAAATAAAAATATGGACGCATTTTTCTAAACTAATTGACATTTGAAAATTCCAGCAAAACTATTATTGAATGGCATGTAACTGATGCGGAAATCTGCCATCTAAGACAGACATTCATTAAATCGATTTCAGATCAAACTTGCACAATTTTCCTTCCAATAAAGTGCGTTATAAGGTGCGTTATAAGAAACGACATTCCGTGTATACCTACACAAAGGAAACATTCCACAGGACACAATTAATGGATACTTCCTCATGCTCCAAATTCATTGAGCGGTGACTCAAAGCGTAGGAGATGAGAAGCGACCGGCACTTACGTCGTTGCCTTAATGCTACCCTCAGTAGTAATCGGCTTATTCTTGCTGTCATTTTAGTATTACCAACTACGGTACATAGTTCAAACATGCCAATGCTCAATCTTCGTAGGGCGTGTGGTCTGAGCGCACTACTTAATTGAAATTAACTCATCCTTTTGCATGACAGAGGGAGGAAATCCTCAGTTCTGAGTTGAAAAGGAACAGCATCGCTTCAATGGAATAATGTTCGAATGCACGAACACTGAACATATTAGTGACATTGACCTCTAGGGTTCAAGGCTTTCATACTTAATTGTAGAAAGAAATACATATCGTACAGAAAGCTGACTATTGTGTTCTACATCCTCAATAAAAAACCCAACTCGATACATTTTCGCACCTAAAATTTGTTAAATAAGGATGTTATACTTTATATTATATACTAAATTGTCGTTAGATTTTAACTAAGATATTCGTCATTATAATAAGATTACCTAAACAAATTATTCCACCTGCTAGATAGAACTTTAACTAAAACCTCTATCTAATGATAAGTGAGTAGATAATCGTAGATAAAATGTTACCAAGTCTGTTGTAAGATAAAACAATTGACCGTGTTATTGGGGGAACTTACTATCATCGAAACCAGGGACATATGTATAGTAAATAAACTGTTGAAATGTCTGTAGGTGTGTATCCAAGGTCTGGACTAGGTCATTCCGATACCTTTGGCTACGTGCACCTCGTACTTCGATAACGTTATCGACAATGTTAACTATGAATCATTTGCAGGTGGTATTGATTTTTTATTCAAAGCATTCTTTATTAAATATGGTATACAGACAAGACAAATTTGTAAATTAACCCAAAAGTTACGTGGGGGAGAGCCATGCTTCGGCTTGAATGGGCCGGCTCGACCGGAGTGATACCACGGCCTCACAGAAGACCGACGTGAAACAACGTTATGTTGTGTTTCGCTGTGTGAGTGAGGTTACCGGATGCGCAATTACCCCCCCCCCCCTTTCCCTAATCCCTAAATCCCCAACAATCCTCAAATTCCTAATCCCAAAAGGCCGGTAATGCACTTGTAACGCCTTTGGTGTTCCAGGTGTCCATGGGTGACGCCGATTGCTTACCATCAGGTGATCCGTCTGCTCGTTTACCGGCTTATCCCATAAAAAAAAGGCCCCGTGGCTCCGATTTCATTAAATAATAACTGAACTCCATATCAAGTGTATTTCGTAATATCATTGAATCTGTAATACTACACAAACGTTAAAATTAATCTTAATCATACCAATATTTAATGGTATTGCAGTTTTGAGGTAATTGACCCAGAAACAGCTGCTCAAACATTACAATCCAAATTGGTTTTGGTTCCACTGTCATAACACCGTATCAAAAAATGAAATCGAATGACTCTTAATATAAACACGTTAAATAATATACTATGTATTACTTTATGGATTGAGTAATTTTTGCTTTGTTTTTAGAAATAAAGCATTTAGCTTTGGGTGCAGAATATTTAATGCGGAAACATACAAAGTAATTACCTAAATATAATCATTTTTAGTTACTATATCTAATTGTCTACCTAAATATAATTTGTTTTATCTTACGGGTGTTAAAATGAATTATCTGAATCCTTGTTCTGATCAATGTATTATTAAAAATGATCCTATGCAATGTAATTCTTTAAAATGACGATTTTTGAGAAACTTAGGTAACACCGATCGTAACTAAAGTCACACAAAACCCTATAAACATTGGTTACTAACTCTAATTATATTTCTGTTTCAGAAAACAAACAAGTGGGAATATTTTCATCAATGGACGACTGCGCAATGAAAAAAGTTTTAGGCGGAGATCGTGTTACATATTACAAGATGACAGAGTACAAGACATGCTCACTATCAACGAATCATTACACATAGCAGCAGAACTCAAATTAGGAAATCATATTAGCAAACAACAGAAAAAACGACGAGTAAGTATTTTGAATAGTCGATTACGATTTTTACTCTTATTCTTTTCCGACTTTTACTCATGGCTGGTAGAACAAGATCTAAGCTATAAGATTTTTAAAAATCAGAAACCTAATACGGTTTGGTATATAAACATAAATTCCAACAACTAAACTTAACATCTCAATTGATTCGGATAATTGAACAACTTAGCCTTCAAATACGATAAATACACAAATAGGATTAATTGAATGTAATAAACTGATTTCATCATAATATATTTTCTAATCTTTTAAGGTCGAATTATTTAAATGATCTCGACTTATAATCGTAATTATTATCAGTCACAAAATGTATGAACTTGGTACATAGAGACTATCTAACTACGATACCTACAATCACAAGTCGTATTCAATAATTTAATTTTTGAAAATGAAGTGGAAAATGTTATATATATACTTAGATACATGTCTGCAACCTCAATGCCAACTTAGGTATATAAAATGTGATGACCAACGCAAAACCACGTTTTAAAATCTTATAATTATTTTTTTATCCTCTATGACTCCATCTAAAAATTATAATGAATGTCTTTCTCTTTTCAGATACATGAAATAATCACATCTCTCGGTTTAAGTAGTTCTAAGCACACTAGAGCTGGTCTATTGTCTGGTGGTCAGAAGAAAAGGCTGGCAATAGGTTTGGAATTAATCAGTGACCCACCGGTTATGTTCTTAGATGAACCTACAAGGTAAATAATTTTCTAAACTAAGTATTACTTGGTAGAATTAGGTACCTAGGTAGTTTTGATATCTGCTATATAAATTTTGGCCTTGGCAACTGAAGACCGTGACAATTGACGCCCGTTGTATGTACAGCCAATAAAAGCGACCCACTACATCCTTTCCTCAGAGGTCAAAGTTGAATAAGAAACACCCAGCAATATGATATATTTGGATCAATCACTCACTGAGTACTTCGTAGTCTGACATTTCTTTAGTAGTAGTCATTTTTGGGCAATAAACCATCAATTCTATTTAGCGACAGACACTGACATCCTGCCTCTATTTTTGTAGTCTGACTGTAGACTTAACAAACACGATACTGCCGCATGAAACACTCAAAAGCCGCTTCCTTAGGTACTATTAGAACAACGTTATCTAAAACAAATCAGAAGGATTAATAAAGGAATTAAATATTCAAGATAACGACACACGCTATTTAGACACTTTCAAAGTAAATATATTTACGCTCTTTGAATAATATTGTCAGATGAAAAAGTGTGTGTTTCGAAATGCTATTGTTTATCACACTTTACACACGCAATGACTTGTATGAAACACACTAAATTTAATATTATCTAAAATTATAATAAAGTGATAGTTCTATTTAAATCACAATTGGGATGATGACAGGATATGAAAATTAAATATATAATTGGTCCGTAATTTAGGTAACGAAAAATATTAGACACGTATTTTTTTATTATGTTGTATACTAAAATAATACTTTGCTACAACGAATCAAAGTTTAGGAATGGGGGCTAAAACGTCATTTCTATGTATAAAATGTACATAGAAGTGACGTCACGTGACATTTCAAATCAATATAACGTCGAAAGTATTCGTTTCTGTAAGAAAATAAAAAATACGTGTCTAATGATTTAAAATAATGTACCAGGCAGACAGTAACATAAAATTAGGCATCTATCCTATTGTCACTCAAAGAATACTATTTATTTCAATGATGTTGAATTCTTATTTAAAAGAGCAAATTTTGTAGAAAGTAAAATATGTTTTTTCTAATTTCATATAAACTCACGATTCCGTTTCAGAGCTATTTATCAATTGATATTTTAATGATAACACTTATCTAGATAATAAGGTGACACTAAAAACATTGTAATTTAATCCAATATATGGCATTAAATTGAATTGTCCCTATCTGGTGATTGTTACAATGTAACTTCCAACCAATGAGGAAGCATAAATATTCTTAAAATTTTAAATGGCACCTCAGATATTTTTAAATATCACATTGATTGATAAGATTTATCACTCGCTATTATGCAGTAGTACTACATAGTACTAAAATGCAGGTAATACAAGTATTGAAAAATATCACTAGCATAAAAGAAGACCTACCTATGGACCAATTTAAAGTGAATAACATCCAAATTTTCCTGTCGATATTTTGTTATCAATTCATAATTCTCATTGCTTAACTATATATAAGTTTGTTTTGTTGATCAACGCAATTACTTGAAAACAATTTAAACTATATCTGTTGCTATGCAACAAGGAACATTTTTGTGTTTGAGTTTAATACCTATGTTTGTTAGTTTATCCTCTACATGTATACCTATATCACCATGAGAGACATGGTATAAAAATATCCTTAAAACAAGGAACAAAGAGTTCAACTTGATTGTATCTTCTTTCCAGTGGGCTGGATAGTTCAATATCGAAGCAAATAGTATATTTACTTCACCTTTTAGCGCGGCAAGGGCGGACGGTGGTGGTGACCATGCACCAGCCGTCCGCCGCTCTGTTGAGCATGGTGGACCGGCTGTACGCCGTGGTCGGGGGCCGCTGTGCTTACGTCGGCTCCGTACCGCAGCTCCTGCCCTATCTAGAACATATGAACTTAATGTGCCCGCCCTACCATAACCCTGTGGACTTTTGTAAGTATACCTTTGTAGATTTAAAGTATATTTTGTCCTTGAATTTTTAACCTCTTATGCACATGAGACACAATAAAAAACACATCGTGTTTCGCGTATATCTAAGTTCCGGCTAGCTACGTACTCGCGTATACCATGGGTTAATTGTGATTTTATTAAAGGTTTTTCTGTGTTCTCAATATTACGAAACGTATTCAAGACAAATTGGTGCCTAAAAATCTGGTAAATTTAGAACCGGTCCTTTCTTTATAACTATTGAATCGAATTTGGCCAAACTATTGAATACTTAATAACAAAAACTTGGACGATTATGTTTATCTACGAGTATTTGAATATTTATATGCTATTCATTATTCATTTTTATTTCACGTCCTGGGCTGGGCCTAACGTCCACTTTTTAATCGGCTCATATGATTCAATATTACATCCTGACCGGAATAGGAATTAACTGAATAAAAAATTAACTGTCATGAATCAGCATATGAGCTGTACATTTGTTACAAACCGTATCAAAAGTACTAAGTATAATTTGTATTAAAACTTTAATGAGACATACTAAATTCATTAAGTATTATATTTTCTGTTTACTCACGTAACTGTTCAATTCAAGCCATGATAGAGGCTCATATTCATGAGCAGCATTCCGCGACTCGCGACGCGGCGACTGTCGCGCTGCTACTGTATAATGTGTCTAGTAATATAAACTTTAATCCTTGATCACGTTCCAATCTCTGCTTATATTTCTTGGAAAAATACCTAATAAGTTATGATTGTTTCTTTTCAGTAATCGAAATATGTGTAGAAAATGCGAGTGACCTAGTGGAGAGCTCAGGAAACGGGAGGAACAATAGATGGACTGCGAACATATCTCATGAGACTGATAGTAATTTAATAGGTATGTACTATTCACATTAAAACTTTGTTTATTATACATAAATAAAAACATAGTAACTGCTCATTTAGATATCTTATGGCCATTTTCCACCAACAACCCCTAAACCATCTCTTAACTGAGAGTGATTTACCTTAAATAATCACCTAAACTAACCTTACATTTAGGTGTCACTTGTAAAAATTGTAAGCATCACTTATCTTAGCTTAAGGGTTCCTTAAAATGTAAAAAGAGGTTTGTGAAAACTAGGCATCATACAAATTGTAACTACTTCTAGTAAGCCTTGCGACTTAAGCTCGTTAATAACTAATAATTATATGAGTTTTATCCTTTTAGTCGTTAAGTCGATAGCGTGATGTATTAAGTAAATGATAATATCGTATGATTTGTATGCAAACCGCGTTGAATCCTTGAACCAATAAGTCGCACGTCGACTACTCTAGATATGGACTTCAATCGAAACTAACTGAATAAATCATAAAATCATCATTATTAATGAACCCTCAATTTGAGTGACACCTTTTACTGGTTTTAATTGCCTAGATCTGACTACTTTATGATACTGATTGCGATCAAAATAGCAAACTTATGATTTTACAAGAGTAATACAGTTTTAAATGAAAAATGGTTTATGGTTTTGTTAAATTTCTCCAACTAAATAAAGCTCACTGGTCAAATTCCTTAGGAGCCATTTTCGGAGTTCGTCCAATAACAAAATAATCGTTAGTTATATTCCAAGAATCATAAATTGCATCATAGACTCGATCGAATATACTCAGTAAAACCAAGAAAATCAAATTACTTATTATGAAAATGTTTTCCTGTTTTCAGAAATATCTAGTCTAAGTGCCTGTAAAGAGGTTTGCCTGACGACGCTGCCGGCTCCAAAGGAGGATCCGACGAGTAAAATAATATTAGCACTGAAGAGTACATACACCACGTCGTTTGTTAAGCAATTTGCCACGCTAACTCGGAGATCACTTCTGGTAAATATCAACTTATATCATTTGAACTACAAGATTAATGTAACAAAGTTAAATACAACAACTACAACATTAAATTCTCCCAAATCAATATTTAGATCTCTCACATCTCAAGACATGATTTTCGGTTCGGCTTTGGCAAGGTTTCTTATTTTTGGAGTAAATGAGAAGTACAAAGTATGTAGTAACTGTAACAATTAGATACTTCGATTTTAATTCATTCGTAAGTACTATTCCTTTCACATCCGGAATAGAAACTGGAATCACATCAACCGACATTCTAACGTCTTATTATAAAAATCTAAACTAACAATATAATTATTGTGAAATGATACGTTTCGAATGTACGTTCATGTAAACACTATCATTTATTGTGTAATAAATGATCTGTGTTTATAATTTGTTTAACGGAACTTTGACTTATGTTTTACACTGCGTGCTTGCTCCACTTTCCGAAACGTATGTCAATGTAAAGAGTCTAATCGAATTCTAATAAAATCTCTTCCACGGATATCTTAGTTCAGATAAACAATACCAAGACAACATTTTTACACATTTTGTATGAAGCTTACGCATCAAAATTCTCCAGTAAGCAAATCTGCAAAAAAGTAAATTATTAAGACACTAATTTGCTCTTTTAACTGCCTCGTTGGCCGAGTGGTCGCAAGTACGACTGCCGGACAAGGGGCGATACCCCCTTGGGCAAGCGGCCTCGGGTGCGATTCTCGGGTCAGGGCAAAGTATTACTAGGTTTTTGAAAAATCTCATTATTTGCATGGAGTCCGGAATTGTGCCCGGTATATGGCAATAGGCTCACCCCCTATTACGTGGGGCTTATAATATAAATAGTGAAAAATGGTTTTACATTATACAGTGGCATTAAGTGCCGTAATGTGCACCTCTGCCCAACCCCTTCGCGATGTTATGTTTTTTTTTTTTTTTTTTTTATGGA